AGAACTTGGTTTTGGAGGGATATTAAGCCTTAGATGTGGGGAACTGAAGTGAGATTTATGTGCATGGTTGATTGAACGGTTCGAAACTATGTCCTTAACATTAAATGTTTATGGTGAAGCTATTCAGTTATCAACCATGGATGTAGAATGTGTCATGGGTTTGAGAAATGAAGGGTTGCATGTGGAGACTATTGGGCCCAGTGAAAGAATTCAGGGGATTTGGAATTCAATGTTCAATGGAGTGAAGGATATCCCGTTGAGAAACATGAATTCCAGACTTTGTGTACTTAAAGTGGATTCAGATGAGTTTAGGATATATTTTGTGCTATTTCTTATTGGACATCTTTTATATCTAACCATGCGGACTTCAATCAGCAACACATATCTTCAGACTGCCGTAGACATTCCTTCTATAGGAGAGTGAAATTGGGCAAAATTTGTGTTTGATGGTATGGTTGAAGGGGTGCGAAAATATCTTACACGTGAACAGAAAAATGTTAGTGGATGTTTACTTGTTCTTATGGTAAGACATCAATTTATTTTTTTAGTATATTTATGTTGTGTTCGTTTCACAATATACCTTTAATTTTGTAATTATCTTCACTAATATTGTACATTTTTTGACTGATGTAGTAAATACCCCAATAATTTTGTAGTTGTTTCCATTGAAGTTCAAAATTTATCCACACCTTACCATATATTGATCGATCATACCTTACTTAGATCTATCGTAAATTACCTAGATCGATCAAAATGTACAGTATAGACTACTAGTATGTTGTCTTCGTAAATTTATCCACTTTTCTTGTAAATATACCTTTACTTTTGTAATTACCTCCACTACTATTGTACATTTATTACTGATGTAGTAAATATCCCATTAATTTTTTAGTTGTTTCCACTGATGTTGAAAATTTATGCACACCTTACCGTATATTGATCGATCAAACCTTATTTCGATCGATCAAAATGTAATGATTGATCACAAATTACCTAGATCGATCAAAAGGTACAGACTATTAGTATGTTGTTGTCATAAATTTACCCATTTATGTTGTAAATATACCTTCACTTTTGTAATTATCCCCACTACTATTGTACAATTTATTACTGATGTAGTAAATACACCATTAATTTTGTAGTTGTTTCCACTGATGTTCAAAATTTTTCACTCTTGTTGTAATTATACCATTACTTTTGTACTTGTACCCACTAATATCGTTAACCTCGCAATGATTTTGTAAGAATACCATTATCGTTGTTATTGTATCCATTATTGTTGTAAATCTTGGAAGTAATATTGTAACTATACCATTATCTTTGTAATTCTCTCATTGCAGTTGTACATCTTCCATCCATCATTGTTGTACAATGTAAGTGAGCAATAGGTCAATCCTCTTGCCCTGCTTTTGCTTTACACGTGGCCTTTTCTACATCTTTCTGCATCAAATATTCAGCTTTTTGGTACCAAAAATCTTTTCGGTATGGTACCGAAAAACCAAAAGGATGTATCGTAGTCTACCCCAAATTTCTAATGTCTGACTAAAAGATCAGTTTACTAGCAGAATTTTCATTTTTTTTTTGCAAGCAAAAATTGAGGGGGACAAAAAATACATATCGGCACAAGAAGGGACAACAATAATTATTATAGAAATTCGGTTGCTTCACTTGGCACTAGTGTTTTAAAAATTGGCCCAGCCCGGCGCGTTGACGCGGTAAACTGATGCCTAAACCGGGCCGGTTCAATCTTTGGATTGTTTAAGCACCAGACCCGTCTGAAATTCGCTGAACCGGTTAAAAAACCGTTGAACTGTTCAAATCGGACTAGTTGAATCAAACCGGCCAGGTCAGTTATATTAGTAAAAAAAGTTGAGTTTTGGGCATTTTGCCCTAAATCAACACTCGCAGCAGTCTCTCGCATCTCACTCAAGTTTCTGATTTGGTACCCAAGTCAAATGAAAATCGTTGCTCACCAAATCGAAGCCAACCTCTACATCATTTTCTCTTCTCAATGATTGATAATCGATCAATCAGTTGCTGCGAGCCTACGACTGTCTCTGTTATTTGCGAGTCTTCTTCTCTTCGACAACCCTAAATTGACAGTCTCTCTTTCTCTGTCTCTTTAAGTTTCTTCTCTCAATCTATATTCTCTCTTTGTGCTGCTGCAAGCAAGCAAAGGAAAAAGCTGGGCTTCAAAGCTCCATTCCATTAAAGCATCGAGCCATCGACAACCATTGATAGTAGGTACACTACTCTCTCTCTCTCTCAATCTCTCTCCCCCTCTCTCTTTCTGTACCATTATCTTTGTAATTCTCTCATTGCTATTGTACATCTGCCATCCATCATTGCTATACAATGTAAGTGAGCAATAGGTCAATCTAGTTGCCCTGCTTTTGCTTTACACGTAGCCTTTTCTGCATCTTGCTGCACCAAATATTCAGCTTTTTGGTACCAAAAAGCTTTTTAGTATGGTGCCAAAAAAACCAAAAGGATATACCGTTGTCTACCCCAGATTTCTAATGTCTGACTAAAAGATCAGTTTACTAGCAGAATTTTCATTTTCTTTTTGCAAGCAGAAATTGAAGGGGACAAAAAATACATATCGACACAAGAAGGGACAACAATAATTATTATAGAAATTCGATGGCTTCACTTGGCACCAGTGTTTTAAAAATTGGCCCGGCCGGTTGACCCGGTAAATTAATGCCTAAATCGGGCCGGTTCAGTCTTTGGATTGTTTAAGCACCAAACCCATCTAAAACTCGTTGAACCGGTGAAAAAACTGTTGAACTGTTTAAATTGGACTAGTTGAATCAAACAGGTCGGGTCAGTTATATTAGTTAAAAACGCTGAGTTTTGGGCATTTTGCCCTAAATCAACACTCGCGACAATCTCTTATATTTCACTCGAGTTTCTAATCTGGTACCCAAGTTGAACGAAAATCGTTGTTCACCAAATCGAAGCCAACCTCTGTATCTTCTCTTCGCAATGATCGATCATCAATCAATCAACCGCTGCGAACCTGCGACTGTCTCTATTCTCTGCGAGTCCTCTCTTCTCCGACAGCCCTAAATCGACAGCCTCTCTTTCTCTGTCTCTTTGAGTTTTTTCTCTCAATCTTTATTCTCTCTCTGTGTTGTTGCGAGCAAGCAAAGGACGAAGCTGGGCTTCAAAGCTCCATTCCATTGAAGCATCGAGCTATCGACAATCATTGAAAGTAGGTACACTACTCTCTCTCTCAATCTCTCTCCCCCTCTCTCTCTTTTGGTCGCTATCTCTGTTATGAGAGCTTTTGGTTTCGCTGTGGCACATGGGGTTGAATTTTGGAATCTTATAGTGGTTTGAGAAGGAAGTGGTTTTGTGTCAGAACAGGTGGGTTGCATTTTTTTTTGTGGGTTGGAATTTGGATGGGTTGATATGAGTTTGTGTCTAATTTGGTTTGCAATTTTTGGTCTAAGTTGTGTGTGATTCAAGCCAAATTGTTGAAAAGTAAGCCAAATTTGAGTAACTTGGATTTTATGATTCTTTTTAGCAATATTAGTTTCAATTGTTACTATATTTTTTGAACCAAACAAATGATACAATTTAATGATTATTGTTATTATAATTTAATTGAAGAGTGTAAATTACATGGATAATACTTGGATTGAAAAATTGATGCATAGTCAGAGACTTGGACTTGGAGTCTTAAATATAGGTATGCTTTTGCTAAATTTTAGATTTAAAAATTGTATTAGAAATTAAATGCATTGGATATATGTTTGATGATTTTTCTCTACTTACCATTACATATTTGCTGTTATTATCATAATTATTGTGATTTTTAGCCAATTTACTTTTTTTTTTTATAATTATTGTTTATTTTTTTATTATATAACCAGTTCGACCAGTGACCCAACAGTTGAACCAATGACTCATTGACTCGGTTCCTCTATCGGGTTGATGTCCAGACCAGGTTTTAAAACTATTCTTGGCGCATTTAACAAACTCAAACATGAAAGGGGAAGAAATGGGCCCTTTGCCACGTGATGTCTGTATGAGGAATCAAAATTTAATGGGCCCTTATTTTATAGTTTGGATAAATTATATAGACACTCTCTAACATTTTAATTTATTACATAGATATCACCTCACTTTCATAAATGACACTCGGAACCCAATGCCATTAGAATGGAAACGTTGCTAACAGAAAGCAGAAAATGACAATTTTACTCTGCATTTTTTACTAGAAAAAATTTGATAATTCAATTCAAATTTGAAATGACTTTAATAACCCTGTAAAATATCTATGTTCTAAACTCAACCCTAATACCCCATTCATCATATCTAATAGAAGAGAGAAGGCATAAGAGGACCCAATTCGTCATTGACAGAAGACAGAACCGATTCAACCTAGATCTGGATCTATGTCTTTCTTATGCAATTTATGGTTGATTCAACCACAAATTGTGCATATGCATCCTGATTTTTATAGAAACTCTAACCCTAATCCCCATCACTTTTATTTGCTCCTAAAACCATATACCTAAGCCACTTTAACAATTTCTGAACCTAGGTCAAACAAACCTTTAACCTAACCTAGATTTGGATTTGACTCTTCATCTTCATCACGAATCATCTCGTTTAAAGAATCTTGGATCTGGATTTGACTCTTCATGTTAGTCACAAATTTGATCTTTTTTGTTTATTTAAAGGATTTTTTTGAGTTACCCAGTAAAAGACATTTTTGGATTTTTTTCTACAAAAAATGGATGAGGAGGTGCATGACATTGTTGTTCATTTTAAGCATTCACCATTAATGGGGTCGACCTTGATAGGTATTGTTCTATGGATATGGTGACAAATGTTGCAGAAGTTACAGATGTGTTTGTATGGGTGATAGTGTAGCGAAGGTAATGATTATTGTTATAGTTGATTGGCCAGATCATAGGGGAAAACTTGTACTTGATGACAATAAAAATTTATAGGAAATATTTTATTTTTATAGAAATTGTAACAAGATACATGTATTTATGGATGTTGAAGTTGGATCTCAAGTGGGACACCCACCTCCTCCAAATGCAGTAGTAGGTGAAAATGATTGTGGTGAAACTGTTCCTAAGGTTAATGAGGGTCATACTAAAATTGAAGTTGAAAATTTTGAAGGTGATATTGATGATGTTATACAAAAAGATGCAAATCAAATGCAAGGGATATAAATAGGCATGAACCTAAGGGTGAAAATGATGAAAGGGATGCAAATTGGCATGAGCCTAATGATGGAAATGGGGAGGAACATATGGGTGGGGATTGTGAAAATGGTGACAATTTTATATTTTCAATTTTGAGGATGAAGGTTGGAGAGTTGAGGGTGATGTCCCCAATGTTAGGTATGAGTGTAATGATGATACCATAAACATATAGTTAGATAAAAACAGTGACGCTAGGTTTTCAGATTATCAATCAGGGGATGAAGGTTATGTTAGTAGTACAGATTCAAAGGTTGAAATGGATGAAGCACAAAGAATGGGTAGGAAAATAAAGTACAATGTCATTGATACTTCTGAATTTGGAGTGAAGTTTCATGTTCCTTAGGATGGAAACACCAGTTGAGACTTTTTTATGAGGATGTAGTTTGGAAATGTGGACTTGTTTAAGGATGCATTGAGTGATTATATAATAAAGACAGGGATAAAGTGATAAGGAAGAAAAGTGAGTTGACTAGAGTTACTATTGAGTGCAATGTTGAGGGGTGCAAGCAGAGGATTCATGCATCCCCTCTCCCCTATCAGCCTACTTTTAAAGTAAGAACTTATAGTAAAGAGAACAATTGTATCAGGTATAGAAAGGTGCCTGAAGCAAACTTTACTTGGATTGTCAAAAATTTTAGAAGGGATATAACAAAAAACCCAAAAATGACCTTGGAAACTTTACTATTTGAATTATAGGATAAGTGGAAACTTGAGGCCAACCCTAGTCAGTTATATAGGGCAAAAAAAAAAAATGGCTATAGAAGAAATAGAGGGTCAACATGAAAAATCTTTTGGGTTACTACCGGCATATGTTAGGGAAGTAAGGAGGAGTAACCATGGTAGCGTTATTAAATTTGATTATTTCAAGGCATCTGTAAGTGATAACCCATTGTTCAAGAGAATCCTCATTTCTTTTGTTGCACTAAAAAATGATTTTAGCGCAGGTTGCAGAACTGTTATTAGGGTTGAAGGTTGTCACTAGAAAGCTAAATTTGGTGAAGTTTTTGTGGCTGCAGTGGCTCTTGATGGGAATAAGGTTTGTTTCTAATGACATATGGAATTATTGGTCAAAGTGAAAGGACAGAAAGTTGTCACAAACAATATTAGACGGAAACTGAATGAGATGGTAAAGAAAAACATGCATTGTAATGTCCTTTGGGATGGAAACTTGGAGTTCAATATTTGACATAAGGAGACAACGTACCCTGTAAATTTAACCACTAAGGAATGTGCTTGCAAAGAATAACAAATTACTAGGGTTCCCTATATTCATGTAGAAGCAACAACAATAAGTTCTCAAAGGAAAATATTGAGATGTTTTACGACATTTATTTCACAAAAGAAAAATATTTGTTGGCTTATGGGGTTATCGTACATCCAATTCTTGATCATAAGATGTGGGCTCTAACTGTAGAAACTCTCCAATCATCACCTTTATGCAAGATACGTGGAAGGCCTCGAAACAATCGAAGAAGACTTGCAGATGAACCAATAGCTGGCAGAAGTGAAATGAGAAGGTCATAGAGAATTAGTTGGCAAATTTGCAAGCAACTATGTCACAACAAACTAACTTGCCAAAGAGTACCTGTCAAAGGAAAGGATGAAACTCAAATAATTTTCAATTATGCCCATACCAAATGAAAATTTTGTACCAATAATTTATGATTTTATGTATTATTTGGGTGCAGCAAACTGGAACAACACCACAATCACAACAAGGCTCTGAAACTGGTGAATCTAGAATTTCTATGTAATAGCAAAGAAGTGATTATCCTATTGGGGGAAGTGGGGGCAGACACTCAGGGCATTGGTCTAGATGTAAATGGAAGCTGACTTCTTCTGGTATTGACTTGTGAATGAATTTTTTTTGGATGACATTTTGGATATTTTAGTGCCACAGAATTTGAACACATTTGTGTAGTATGTTATGTACAAATTTGTGCAAGATAGTGGTTTTTTGAGATTCTGATGCCTTTTTGAGCAGTAAATTATGTACACAATCAACTATGGTGAACATGTTTTGAAGCCATTACATAGTTAGCATAATTCCAAAAGCCACTACATATTTCATATCTTCATTTGAACTCATTACATATTCAGCATAACTCCAAAAACATATTCAGAAAATTAACACTGCCTACATACTAGGTAAATACAACGTGACATAATAGATACAACTAGGTATCACCACTGGAATTTCTAGCTCTTACTCATAGAGAGGACCATAACAAATAGTTGCATCACAAACACAACACTTCAAACGAGGGCCTTCAAAAGTGCATGGGTGTCCTGAGCGATATTTCAAATGTGGAGAAGCTAGAAAAATTTGGACTCCTTTGCATTGGACCATATCCATGTTCAGCACATGGAGACATCATAGTTAATTGGGGATGACAAGAAGCCAAGAACTTGCACGATCCCTTCATAATTGAAATACAATTCCCTTTAGTTGGCTTCTCGGCTCCTACTATCCTAATTGCAGCTTTCTTCCCACAAAAGTATTGTGTTTCGGCAAACCTTAAATCCAACATCTCATGTCCTTCTCCGTTCACAACTCCAAATCTACAACTTCTAGAAGATGACATGTTTGTGGATATAGTCACTACATACAACAAAAACCAAGTCATATTATTTCACTGACAAACACACCCCTTGCATCTTTACATAACAACATAAACACCCGCTTATAACTCCTGCTATAACAGTGAGACTCCATCCATACCTAACACAGACAACACACACACACACACATATATGTTTCTATATATATTTATAGGTGTACATAAAAAGAGAGATGGAGAGAGAGATAAAGACTTAGAGAGATATGGAGGAAGACAAAAAAAGAAAAGGAAGCCATACCTGCCGAGAGAGAATGTTAGAGAGAAGATTAGAAGCAACTCTGAAGATGGAGCTTTTTAAAGTAAAGGGAAAGGGTATAATTGACATTCCAATAACACTTTGAAGTATATTCTAGAGTTTGACTTTCACTGTATGGGAGCATTGTTGGAATTATAATAGAATTTTTTGTTGATGTCAGCATATTCTGCAAACATGTCTAACGTCGGTCAAGTATAAGGTCTAGATATAACAAATTTCAAATGTGAAGAGGTCCGAGGGTCATTTGTGAAATGTGAGGGGGTATCCATGTAATAAATCAAAATGGTAGGGGTGTTCATGTAATTTACCCTATTAGTTAATAAATGATTAAAATTTGTGTAAACCAAAATCTATTTTATTAGCCATATCCTACTTTTTGATAACAAAAAATATTAGACTATGGAATCGAAATTGTATTTTTTTTTCTAGTATAGTTGTTTATTTGATCAAGCATATTGTGATACATAGAAATTTTAATCATTTACTATATTTATTATTTATAAATATAAATAATTTAAAATATTTCACACTAATGGGAATTATTTTTTGATATAATACTTAAAAATTAATTGTACATATCTATCACATATTGGAGGAATATCCAATGCATGACGCTTTTCTTTGCAAAATTTCATAAATTACTATTTGATAAAAAAAAGTTGGTATCTATATCATTATTGATAATAATGATACTGATACTACCAATATTGTTCTTTTTTTTAATTTTTTTTTCTTTTTGATTATTCATATGATGTAACATGTTTTCTTGGCTCACAAGTTATATCCATAAAGAGGAATATACCCATGAGGGTTTTCCTTTGTTATCTACAAGTAGAAAGAGAACGGATTGTCTTTTCTAAAGAGAGAAAAGGAACAGTCACTTAACTTTTCTAGAAAACAGTAATGCACTGATAGGTACTAGGTACCCAAACACAACGTAACCATGGTTTACCTTGATTTTCGTCGTGATGCTTTATAATAATGCTTATTGCCATCAGAACCCAGAAGAGAAGTCTGAATCAACACGAAAAAAACACCTCATTATCGGGGCGATTGCCATTATAAGCAAGTGAAATGCTTGTTTAGGGCTTTCAGAAAATGAAGATCTCAAATTATATATTTTATTTTTATAATATGGGTTAATTTGGCTAAAGAATATTATAGAATAAGAGCTTAAAAGATATAAAATATAATTCTCTCTCCTCTATTTTATTAAATTTTTACACTCACCTAAAAGATCATACATTCTCTCTTTATTTGTTGCCAATCCAATCACTCTCCATAAGTAGGGCATATACAAATACATTTACATAAACAAATTGGCCTACATCTCTTTCTCTCTCACACCAACACAAATTCTCTTAATCTCTCTCATTCATATGAATTTAAGTTTATAACGCATTGAAAAATAGAATATGATGATGCACAAATCGACTTTGCATAAAATAAACAGTCAAGTATATGTAAGAGTGCAATTAATGAACAATAAATAGGCAATATATGAAAAATAATAGGTCAAGCACACAGATTTATAGTGGTTCGGTCTGGGTGACCTACTCCACTCTCGAGAATGACAGCGGTGGTCGGAGATCTTTATTGATGAATAAAAATATCCAAGTGAGTGCACTCCGGGAGAGTTACAATGCTTTGGGAGAGAGAGAGAAATGTGTATAGAGAGATGTGTGAGGTCTCAATGTCATACCCTCTATTTGTAGAAGACTGATATTATATAGGTATGGTGAAGCGGTGACGTGAGGAAGAGGACTTTTACTATTTTGGTAAGTACAATTATGATAAGATTAGTATTCAGGAGGAGGATTCTAAGTTAGGTTAGACTCGAGTCTGAATGGCAAAGTGAGGAGACGTTCCATGGAGACTATGCAGGAGAAGGAGCGTGGAACAAAAGAGAGCAGGGTTTTCTTTGGGGGTGGCCTCCTTGGGCAGTGCTCCCTTTGGGGGTGTCCCACTTGATGACTTGGGCTCCTCTTTGATAACTTGGGTCTGAAGTTAATTTCGGATACCAGAATAGACATAAAATAATATAAACCCTCTTTTTTCATTGAAAAAATGACATAGCTATAAAATAGTAT